TCTGTCTGTCTGTCTGTCTGTTCTGTCTGTCTGTCTGTCTGTCTGTCTGTCTGTCTGTCTGTCTGTCTGTCTGTTGTCTGTCTGGTCTCTGTCTGTCTGTCTGTCTGTCTGTCTGTCTGTCTGTCTGTCTGTCTGTCTGTCTGTCTGTCTGTCTGTTGTCTGTCTGTCTGTCTGTCTGTCTGTCTGTTGTCTGTCTGTCTGTCTCTGTCTGTCTGTCTGTCTGTCTGTCTGTCTGTCTGTCTGTCTGTCTGTCTGTCTGTCTGTCCTGTCTGTCTGTCTGTCTGGTCTGTCTGTCGTCTGTCTGTCTGTCTGTCTGTCTGGTCTGTCTGTCTGTCTGTCTGTCTGTCTGGTCTGTCTGTCTGTCTGGTCCTGTCTGTCTGTCTGTCTGTCTGTCTGTCTGTTCTGTCTGTCTGTCTGTCTGTCTGTCTGTCTGTCTGTCTGTCTGTCTGTCTCTGTCTGTCTGTCTGTCTGTCTGTCTGTCTGTCTGTCTGTCTGTCTGTCTGTCTGTCTGTCTGTCTGTCTGTCTGTCTGTTGTCTGTCTGTCTGTCTGTCTGTCTGTCTGTCTGTCTGTCTGTCTGTCTGTCTGGTCTGTCTTTTCTGTCTGTCTGTCTGTCTGTCTGTCTGTCTGGTCTGTCTGTCTGTCTGTCTGTCTGTCTGTCTGTCTGTCCTGTCTGTCTGTCTGTCTGTCTGTCTGTCTTGGTGCACTATCTCGCAAACTGCCGATTTCATGCATACATATATCCATCTCCCTCGCACTCACATTAGCTAAATAAATAATGATCGAGGAAGTCGATTATAGGGTTCTTTCCTTTTAGTGCTGATATTGCTTTATAATTCTTAATTTTTACAGAAATTTATCAACGCATACATATTTTTATTGCGTTCTTTCTTGTTTTTCCTGATATTGCTGTATAATTCTGAATTTGTACAGAAAATGATCAGCGCATATATATATTTTTTAACCCTTACTCGTAGAGTAAACGGGTATACTAGATTCGTCGATAAGTATGAAACAGGTAAAAGGATCAATTGTTCAATTCGGGACATTCCAAATCATTCATTAAACAATTATAAGTAAATGAGGGGGTCATTTTTGAAAACACACGCTTTTCTAATTGTAAATATAAATATAGCCGAGTAACGGTTATCTTATACTCGACGGCATCAATTTTATTCAATGTCGTCTTGAATATTAATATTCTAAGTTATTCTTACACCGTATAAATATTCTTTTTTACCTTTTTTTCAGATATATGGCTACTAATTTAAAATTAATTTTTATACCCGTTACTCGAAGAGTAAAAGGGTATACTAGATTCTTCGGAAAGTATGTAACAGGCAGAAGGAAGCGTTTCCAACCCCATACAGTATATATGTTCTTAATCAGGATCACTAGCCGTCAGTCTGTTTGCCCGGATGAACGCTGAGATCTCGGAAACTATAAGAGCTAGGCTATTGAGATTTTGCGTGCAGATTCCTGAGCTTCTTACGCAGCGCAAGTTTTTTTTGCAGAGTGCCACGCCCTTTCTAACGCCCACAAACCGAACAAAACTGTGGCTCCTACAGCTTTGATGCTAGAATAAAAGTTTTAACTGAAATGTATTGTTCTCATCAATACCTATCGATTGACCCAAAAAAAAATTTGCCACGCCCACTTTGACGCCCATAAACCGCACAAGCCTGTGACGCCCACAATTTTCATGATAGATAAAAAATTTTAGCTGAAATGTATTGGTCTCGTCAATACCTATCGATTGATCCAAAAAAAATTTGCTACGCCCATAACGCTTAAATCTGTCTACCGCCGGTAGGTGGCGCATTTTAATCTCGCTTTGCTGCTTGCATATCTCCATTTAGCTGAGTAACGGGTATCTGGTAGTCGAGGTACTCGACTATAGCGTTGTTCCTTGTTTTATTTGCTTTTAGCAACAAAAAATTAGTTAAGGCCCGATTTATTTCGTTTTCTCATATATTTCCTATTGCTGCTTTGTAAAGCTTATGTGAGCTGGGGTGTCTTAACTCGGCGAACTTGCTCTGAGATCGTGATCAAGTTGGCTGCTGCAATTTCTTGTGCTCTCTGAGCTATATCATGATTCACTGAGCCATTCCTTTCCCTGACTCGTTTGTAAGCTCGTTTTGCAGTGACTTTTCTGCTTTAAACATTTTATATAGTCTTACGTATGTAGCTACTGCTTCAGTTTGGTGCTTAAACGCGTTGCGCGTACTTCATTAAGCTGTAATCAATTAAGCTGGTGCAGCTATCGTTTAGTAAACATACTCAAAAAAGAAACAATTTGTGTATGCTTTGATCATTCTTCTTAAAATATACTTGTAAATTTGACAAAGTTGAAGTGAATTTCGAAAATTGGAAGTCAACTAGAGGCCATGAAGAGCAAAGAAATTTACCAGACTTTTATTTTGTTCCTAGCCATATGTAATGATTTTCCTGAAACTTATGCATTACGTGTTGCCAACTTGCTACCAAAACAACATATAAAAGGTAAGGAAAAACCGAACTATAAAGCCAAAAAATAGAATAGATATGCCCCTTACAGAAACCTAGAAACTCTGGGTAAACAATGATTTTGCCTTTTCTATGGATAAGCTTTCTAATTAGTATATGCAAAATAACTAAAATATAAAATTGTGTTTTTAACAATAGCATAAAACCTCGCATTGTTTCGTAATGTTCAAATATGTAAGTAAACTTAAATTACATTAGTTATATATATGATAAGAAACTCAACCAGCAAAGTCTCGTCAAATCTTCTCAACTTTTCTTTGATTTCAGAACTTTTGTATATTAAAGGTGCGAACGTCACGAAGCCTTACCTCGTTAAGAGGTGTTTTTGTTTGATAACAGAAGTTTTTGTTTTAAACAAACTGTAATTCTCATATGAACCATTATAATAGCAATAAAATAAGTATATATATTTCCGTTGGCAAGGCCAAGTCTGCTTGGTACTGTATCCCGTACCTAATTAAAGAAACTTTTCTCTACTAATTTTATTAAAGTAAATGAAGGTAGACATCGAAAATTATACATATATTTTTTTTAGCTTTTAGGCTTTTAAGAATTATGATATTACAAAAAAAGTTTAGTGTTTAGTGACAAACATCTGATTGTGTTCCTTTTACTTAAAAAGTATCTAATTATAATGGGTTTTTATTCCATTAACGTTCCGTAGTTTTCGGCCATTCAAGTAAGCATGAAATGTTTTTCGTACTGAACTGAAACGGTTTGCACTTTTTATCGCTCAATAACTTCCAATCGGTACTTTTGATGGAAACAAGTGTTATAGATCAAAAGTTGAGGAATCTCGCGGCTATAAAGTTTAGAATTAAAAAAAAACATTGGCAAACAGTGGTAAATAACAAACAACTTTTAGCAACAACTTTTAGCAACAACTTTTAATCTATTGTATTTACACAATTAAAGCAAAGGCAGCGTGATTAGCTTATTAAATAACAATTTCAGCGACACGCGCGAATCTGTAGCATTTGTTGATTCGAATTCTCGAGCTTCCTTACACACCGATAAAGTTCTCAAGACCCCAAAACCAAAAAGGGTTTCATACAACCCACAAATAAAGGGACAAACATTTTTAATTTCGGAAGAACAAGCTTGCGCTGCGTACGGGCCCAAGAATCTGCACGCCATGTCTCATCATTTTAGCTCTTATAGTTTTCGAGATCTCCGTGATCATACGAAAAGTGATCAAAAATGTATAACCTTCCTTCTATCTGTTACATACTTGCGACCCCATAAAGTATATATATTCATGATCAGAATCACTAGCCGAGTCGATCTAGCCATGTCCGTCTGTCTCGTAAACTATAAGAGCTATATAGCTATGCTATTGAGATCTGGCGTGCAGATTTCTGAGCTTCTTAAGCGGCGCAAGCTTGTTTTAGCAGGGTGTCACGCTCAATCTTACGCCCACAAACCGCCCAAAACTGTGGCTCCTACAGTTTTGATGCCAGAATAAAAATGTTAACTGAAATGTATTGTTCTAATCAATATCTATCGATTGACCAAATAAAAAGTTTGTCACGCCCACTTTAACGCCCACAAACCGCCTATGCCTGTGACGCCCACAATTTTCATGCTAGATAAAAAATTTTAACTGCAATGTATTGTTCTCATCAATACCTATCGATTGACCCAAAAAAAAATTGCCACGCCCACTCTAACGGCCATAACGCTTAAATCTGTCTACCGCCGGTAGGTGGCGGGTTTAAATCTCGCTTTGCTACTTGCTTATCTCCATTTCCCTTTGGTCCCTTTAGCTGACTATAGGGTATCTGATAGTCGAGGTACTCGACAATAGCGTTCTTCCTTGTTTCTTTTTATATTTTTGTTTTACATCGTGTTCTAAGACCTTTTTGCGTAGCGACTTTTGTGACTGAAAGTAACATCTACAGCGGTGGACTAAAGTCTACATACGACCCCCTTTTTAGTATTTTTAACCACTCCTATTGGTATACAACAACCAAATTTATATTTATTAAATACAAACTTTAAAAGTTATAAACAAAAAACTTACAAAACTTAAAGTTTACATTACTTGTACATTTTGGCATCTATAAAAAGGTAATTTAACAGTCCAACAGTCGGAATGAAAACTGTAAATAAACAATTCTATAATTTAATTTTTTGTAATAAATGAATTCTAGTTTTACTTACCAGACTTTATATAATTAATTACATAATTTCTGTGGTATTCGCATAGAAATAACGATTTTACTTTACAATTTTGAAGATGCCAAGGCTATGTTAGCATAAAGCAATAAGCATACAAATGGTAAGGTCTATTAAACAATGGTTTAGGTTATTACAAACAACATTTAAAAGCTAAATATCAAGTCTAAGGCTTCTAAACAAATATATAGTAAGCCTAAAAATCTTAGAAAGCCATTGCGCCACCCTTTAAAAAAATGTTTTCCACGTTTTCTTTATGTTATGCACAGTACCAGAAGGAAATACTTTATCAGGTGAGAGTATGACCTTAAAAATTTCATACAAAAATTAATTTTCATATACATAAGTGCAATGTACAACAGCAAAACTAAGAAACTTTCATTTTTCATAAGATACATATGTACAATGTACATATAACAAGTTTGAAACCGGTCTGCTACAGGTATAAAATGGTCCAGTACAAAGTACTTACATACATTTGTACATATATCTGATTCAGACCGACTTAAAGAAGCAAATTTGTTTACATACTTTCAACGATTACATGTAAATACCCTGCAGTACCAATCATCAGCAATTTATCAAAGACTTACCAAAAAACCTTAGATGTTGTCAATGACTCATGCGTTAATTTTCATAAAAATGGTTGGTGAAATTAACATAGGCATGCTGTTATGCATGACAAATTCATCAGCCTTTAATCAACATGTCATACATAACAAATAATTGGGTTTTGTTATCAATATTTTACGACTTGTTATCAAACTTTTTCAAAGGGAGAAAATTAAAAAGATTCAGAGTCGGGTTTAAGGGAAAATATACAAGTAGATCAGAATTTTTTCACCAAACATTTTTTTGGTTTAAAAAATGGTTTATCATCTGGACAATATGCTGTGAAAATTTAAAATTTTAATTCAAACTCTAATTATTTCAGATCGTAGCATGTAAAAGAGGAACTAAAACTGGCTGCTAGCGCACATTAAAACCTTTAAACTTCTTTTTCTACACTTAACATTTTGGCTGTTTTTCTTTGTTATGGACTCAATTCACAAAAAAACTTATCCAACATATTGGAGTGAATCAAAGATCTCTTCAGTATTTAATTCTCTTCCACTTGAACCTTCATGTTTGCACAAACGTCTGTTTTTTATTGCTTTTCATGGGGGTAGGAAATGAAATCTTCTTACCTGCGAGCTACCACTTTTCGTTCAAAACTGTATTTAGTTTGTATGCCATCATTGTTTTCGGGGCTTTTAGGTTCAAATAGAAGATAAACTTGTAATAACAACAAAAATGTTTGATTTTGATTTAAGACACGAATTACAAGCTTTGGCCTGTCCATAACCGGGAAACTCAAGGATCCATACGCTGTGACACATACCCCATAAGACCGCCATTTTGTAAAATTTGTTTAAGGAAAAACATCTTATATACCAACGCAGTGCCACGCTGATTGCTTAACTATTTACTTTTAAAAAAATCATGAAAAATACCTCAATCTTAACCGTTTACATGTATATCCATTCTTAATACGATTGTCGAATGAGAGCGTCTACTTGGCCGATGTCGAGTCAGCACATTAATAACACGTTGATTTCATCAGCCTTTTGGTGTAGAATGGTGCAAATGTATTATGTGTCTAATAAATTCCTTTTGAAAGATTTTAATGAAGCGTGTCGATTGAGAAATATTTAGAAAGTGTATTTATTTAACAGATCGTGTAATACATTTTTATCACAAAATTTGATATCAGAACTTTAGCTTGTTGAAGGTGTGATCGTCACTAGATTTTTACCTCGCCAATTTCAAAAAATGTCTTCTCGATTCCGAAAAGAAGAATTCTCGAGTTTAAGCATCAGCGCTCTTGAAATTAATCATAGGCGCTGTCGTTTCCAAGAGTAAAGCAAATCTTGACTTTGGTAAAATATATATTTTATCAAGACAAAACTATGCTTGTTCTCAGGAGCGATTACTGCTTGATTTCAGAATAAATTGCGCTTCATTTCAAAAAATATTTCATCTTGATTTAGAAATGATTTCGTAGACCAAAACACACTCTCGTTGCCAAATTAAATTTTTTTAATAATTGCCAATTTTTATATTCACTTTTATTTTATTCATATGAAAAATTATGGGTACGGATCTTACAAAATTCTTATAGCCAAATATATTTATTCCTATTTTTATTCCGTCTTATCATTATTACACAATCCTCAGTCGCCTCCTTTCCTTCCTCTTTCTCAATGAACTGTATGCACTCGAAATTTACGGCGGCACCTGAAAAATATAAACTAAGGACTATTACATATAATTTTGTAGGACAGCATTTTCTTGAATTATAAGCTCGTGGTTTGAAGGATATGTCAATTACTGACGCTGCCGCATACATACATATGGGCCGTTCTTTTACAAACCGAACACTTTTTTTGGGTTGAAATTTTTGATTTGCCTGAAACTTTTCTTCCGTATATTATTCTGTACATAAGTAAACACGTGTATCAGGATTTGGCCAAAAAAACATTTTTTAAGTTTGAAAAGAAAAAACGAAAAATTTCCAAAAATTACCATCTGTTTGAAAATCCATAACTCCAGATGTAGTTATCCGATTGACTTCTGTCTTTCTTATAAAATCCTCTGAAGCCCTTATTATACCCATTACACGTAAAGTAAAAGGGTATACTAGATTCGTCAGAAAGTATGTAACAGGCAGAAGGAAGCGTTTCCGACCCCATAAAGTATATATTTTCTTGATCAGGATCACTAGCCGTGTCGATCTAGCCATGTCCGTCTGTCCGTCT